ATAAAGTGCTCTCCTTTAGTGAATGTTTGATCAAACTATGAAACTTGATACATTCTGGGCAGATAGTTACATATTTACGTACAAATTGTTTTCTTTTTGGTTTAATTGCTGCTCCATGTTCTTTCAGTACATGGTCTTAGTTTGAGTCTTCGCACAATTTTTGAATTGTTTCAGGCCTAATGTTCATGAAAAAAAAAAAATTGATCATTTATCAATATTTGGCTGATCACTGATTTATTCAGAGAAAAATCATCTGATTCGGTGCATCCAGCTGTAAATAAAACATGGCTGCTTGGGTTGATTAGGTTCCTGACTTATTTTTCTCACAGGCTTCCGGTTGAGCTGTTAGCTTTAGCATTCTGCCTGAACACATTTACTTCATCCTTTTGATGCCATGTGTAGCTTATAACCTGGCAAAAGAGCAGAGGCTGAATTTCGGAGACGACATCCCGAGCGCGCTTCGCATCGCCAAGAAGAAGCGCTGGAACAGCATCGAGGACAAACGCATCAACCAGGAGAACGAGCTTCACGCCTACCTGACCAAACTCATTCTGGCCGAGAAGGAGAGGTGAGGCTGGACACGCAGCAGAACGACACGCTTCACCTCCAGAGTAAAACCTGGAGACTCTGAGTTTAAACCTGGAGACTCTGAGTTTAAACCTGGAGACTCTGAGTTTAAACATGGAGACTCTGAGTTTAAACCTGGAGACTCTGAGTTTAAACCTGGAGACTTTGTTGTGTTTTCACAGAGAACTTGAAGAATACAAAGAGAAACAGGATGACAATCAAAATGGAGGCGATGCTGGAAAAATTTCATCTAAACATGTGAGTTGTTTTGTTTATTTACTAGGACTGCTGCTGTATGGAGGACCAAAACTGACATAATTAAAAATAAAAGCAGAAATGCGTATGTTTTGTCTTTCCTTGCAGAAATATTTTTTAAAATGTGTTGAGTTCTGATGTCTGATTTCCTTCCTCCTGTTTTTATAATAAAGTGATTAATCGATTGCAAAGTTAGTTGATGATTATTTAAATAATCAATTAATCAGAATTAATTGTTTCAGCCCTACTGCTTTTATCCTTTAACTTACAGAAATAATGTTTAAAAATGCTGAGTATTGATGTCTGATTTTCTTCCTAATTCATCATAATGTGATTAATCAATTACTAAATTAGTAGATGATTATTTAAATTGATGAATTGTGGTTAATTGTTTCTGAATTATTTGTTATCCTTTAAAAATGGCAGAAATGTTTTAAATGCTTTTGATTATTGTCTGATTTTCTTCTTAATTTTGTCATAATGTGATTAATCAGTTATTAGACGAGTTGACAATTGTTGAAATAATTGATTAGTCATCGTTAATCGTTTCATCCCTGTTATTTATTTCTTCGTAACCTTTAAAAACAGCAGAAATGAAATATTTAAAATGCTGTTGAGTGTTAATGCCTGGTTTTATTTCGTCTTAATGTGAAGGAGAAGTATTTAATGGAGATGGAAGAGCTTTTCTCTCAGGTGGATGAGAAAAGAAAAGTGAGTATGGAGAATGATTTTCACTTCCTGTTGATCGTGTTCATTGATAACACAAACCTGTAACAGATTTAAGGGAACAGTTTTATAACCAGCATGACTTTATCCAGTAAACATTATGTGCTCTTTAGTTTTACTTTTAGCACCGATGGTTACCATGGAAACTATTTCACAGCACCGTCTGTCAGCAGACGGATGATGATCTGGATTTAATGAACCTAAACTCTGCAGAAGGAGCTTTTATCGTGTTCATATCGTCATCATTTTGAGCTGAACGTCACATTTATCCCCTCATGTTTTTCTCTCCGTCTTTCAGAAGCGAGAAATCCCAGATTACCTTTGTGGAAAGATCAGCTTTGAGCTGATGCGGGAGCCGTGCATCACACCCAGCGGCATCACCTACGACCGCAAAGACATCGAGGAGCATCTGCAGGTAGAAACGCCCGAC